GGCTAAGAAACAATAATTTTGCGATAATTTTTTAGTAAAAAAATTATGAATTATTGACTGTTACTCTAAGTTAATTGTGAACAATACTGCGAGGACAAAGGGAACTCTCTTCCTTCGTGTTTGCCCAACCCTCTCTCCTGTCCAAAGATAATACAAATGTTTTGTGGCAAGAGATGATAAAAAAAATCTGTCAACACCCTAAAACAAAATGTTCATCATGGTGGTACATGTCAAAACTTACTGTGATATCACCAACAGAGACGTTGGCAGGTATTCCATACTTTGGTGTGTTTTGTATCGCTATGTCCTCAAGAATCACGGAGTCAGCCTCTCCAAATCCATATGTTAGGATAACAACAGAGTTGTTGAGCGCAAAGTTTTCATCTCTGATGGTTTGAAAAATATCTTTTACGGGATCAGCTGGAGCGCCATCCGTCAAGAATAAGATGACTCTCTTCTTACCCTTTCTCTCCTCCCCAGAAATTGAGTTCTTAAGCAGACTGAATGCTTTTTTAAAAGCTTGTTTGTAATTGGTGGAACCTGAAATAATTAAATAACTAATTAATTAACTAATTAATTAATAAATGACTGAATGATTTTAAACACATCTAGTTGTAAAATATAGAACGAATTCCCTATATAGATAAATGACAAGAAGTAGAAGGACAGGAAATATCAAAGCTTAACATTTCCGGAACAGACTTCATGAAGAGCCATTTGATCAGTTGGTGCAAGGCCGGCTCGATTTCATCTCTTGTCGAGTGGGTAGGGGAAGGGTGAGAAAATCGTAGAGCTATTTCGATTATAGTAGCTGGTAATCTAGCCAAAGATGTTGTCTCAGCAGGCAATTGACAATAATCTGCACGTTTTTCCAGCATCCTTTTCAATGATGTAAATCGTTTATTTTTCGTTGATATACCGCGTTTTTTTCTGTACGTATAAGACATCGATACAGGATCATAAACGCAGCAAACTGATGTAAGACCTATGAGAGTCTCCACTGATGAATCCGGAATATATTTTTGACTTCAATGATAGTAGACCTCGTCATAAACATAGAACAGAAGAGATCACGGCGCAATTACTGTAAAGACTTGTGATCGTTTCCGTTAACAGATATCAAGCGCTGATATATTTCCTGATATATTTGAAATATGATGTGTCAAGGTTCTTACCATGTGGTATCAGGTTGCGTACGTATCTCTTCATCTCTTCAATATTTGTAGGGATCGCCTGGGCCAGCCTTTCACTGTAGCAAGGGCTTTTTGTTCCAAGTTCTCCTGGTGTTGAAACGTCATCGTTGAATGACACAATTCCAATCTGAAATTAGCCAAATAGTTAATGTTATTGTCATATACCTGTAAATAAAACTTTTTCCTCAGAACCTTGGAAAGTAGATGATTTTTTTGTATGAGGTGCTGCAAACTAGGAATTCACAGTGGAATCACGCTCAACCCGATATCATTACGGTGTGTCGGTGGCTTCAAATTTACCGAACACGATAACCTTAACTTAATTTTCCACCGGTCCTCGTTCAGAGACTTTCGCCATTTTCTGTGAACGACGGATAATGTCGAGCGAAGGATTCTTGTTTGCGAATAAATTTGCTCGTCGAGTATCGTTCGAAACTCTTTACGGTGGCAAATGAACGTTATCAACTCAGTTGATAATACTAAAATTACCCATTATATTGCAAATGCATTTGCCGAAACCTTGGGACGAGGAACAACGCACCTGGTCCTTGGGGTTCATTGTTTCCAACACTGTATTAGCAGCCTGGATAGCGCCGGTAAGTTTTGTTGTGTCCATAGATGCACTTGTATCGATGACGAGCACCACATCTTTCGCTTCAGGCGTGGCAGTTTCCACGTAAAATGGTCTGAAACGAGGGTCATATCTATCACAAGGGTCTTTATCGTCATACACTGGAAAATTGGTCATGACTCCTTCTTCTGACCCAAAGTATTGCCACTTGATAAAAGGATACGTTCTTGAGATATCTTTCATTTCACTGACCACTCCTTCATCTAAATAGCGTGGATTTGGCTGGGCACTGCCAGAGATTTTTAAGCACACATTGTCCATGTCCACTTTAGAACGGAATCGTACATCATATTTCAAAGAAGATTTGTTTACCATACAGCATTCTTTCTGTGGAGATACCTGAACAGACTCTGTCCTGGCATACGACTCCTCCACGGCCTTTTGAAGACGTTTGGCAACTTCAAACCTTACTTTAAATTTGTCAGACAGTTTGACGGCAAGTTCAGGGGTAATGACCTCTCCCTGTATTGTCCTTTTATGATACTGAAGACCATCAAGATAATTCTAAAAGATAGGCGAGAAGGACGGAAACCTGTTTTAGTGGTGATCTATCTTATACATTCAAAAGGAACAATGCATAGGAATAAAAGAAAAAAAAATTTTGTTTTGTTTTGCTTTTATAACGAAAACAATTTGGCTTCTTGAGAGTTTTGGGTCACTAACTGCATAAAAGGGAATGTTTATAGGTTGGGTGACGTGAACTAGTTATGAAAACAGGAACTTAATTGATCAATCGTGACTTCGCAATTCCGGCACAGGAACATAAAGATATAAAAAATATATCATAATTAAACGTTTATGATCAAATGTGACTTTAATTAAAACATAAAATTCCCGAGACACCAGTATACCTGCCCTCAAGTTCAAGAAAGTCCGAGATAAAGAATTTAAAACTTTTATTGGTCCGGCATGGCGCTTATTCAAACGTGATGAGGCATTTTCAAAATAGTCATTTGTACTGTGCTGTATGATGACAAAAGAATGGGAAATAACAAATTCCAATTTCAAACTTAAACTTTTAAAGAGCAGGACTCAAACTCTAGGTCGCAGAAATTTTTCAAGATCACATAACACATTGCTGATGATGAGAGAGAATATGGAAATTTAGCCTACCTGCATTTCTTCCACTCCAAGCGCGTCCCTGGCAAACTTTTGAAGTTCTACCCCAATAAGGGAAGGATCTAGCAAACCTGAGGTAACATGCAAGGCGAAAATGGAGAGTAAAACCACGAGAAAAGTTTCCATTCGGCGTACATCCATCGCAGATCTTAAAAACAAGTATTCCGCTTTGCTACTTACTCCCTTTACCGCCCACGTCCCTCAGGTCAGAGTTTAAACGTATATTTTACGATTTATGTAAGTATTGTTCGTAAAACTAATATATTTGGCGCATGATTGATTCCATTGTTGGTCTAAAACATTTCTGTTCATAATTATAGTTTGTGGTCTGCCGACTGCGCCTTTAGATGACATACTTCCTGCCAAAACGGGTCGTTTTACCCAAGTATTTTGCAAAGAACAGTTTTAAATAAGCCTACTTCTTTACAGTTCAACATTAAGACGTGTTTTCAGTAAAACTCATCGGCTTCACTGAAAAACAAGAAAAACAATTTCATGTTCACGATCTGTGTCGGGAATTTAATAGCGACAAGTGAAATTACTTTCCCTGCGTATAAACAATGAAGCATCAACATCAATGAAGCGTTTATTGGCAATTATGTTTTTTTGCACCAATACATTCTGTGTCATTTTGTTTACAGGTGGCTTTAGGTAACGGATAGAAAGGTCAAAAAAGATTCCCACCGCGCCTTTAACTCTAGAAACCTCATTGCCACTTTGCGGGTGTTTTCCGATATAGGACGTACAGCTTTTCTCGTTTCACACTCGTATTTACATGCCATTTTTTTGCCATTTTGTGTAGGTGATTGTGACGAACGTATGTATTTGGCTTATGTCTCATTGTTGTGCAGCCGATAAACAGTAAATTTTCGATCACTTCACCAACCAATAGCTTAAGATAACGGAAAAGAAGAAATAAAGTTAAATATCCACTTTGCAGTTTTTCTGCCGTTAACCTTATCACGGTGTAAGTGGAAGGCCATTAAAATTTGAAATATGAGTTCCTCTGCCTCTTATATTTGCATCTCTATTTTCGACTTTTGTGTGATATTACAAAAACACACCAAACTTTGTATGGTAGAAAGAGATTTTCAGGGACAGCATGGCAAAGAAAACTTGTCTAAATAGATTATTCTAATGTTACCAATTGACGGTTCCGTTTAGAAACTGCCTGAGGCTGTACGACAACCATGTGCAGAGTTCATCATCTTTCTTTATGTATTTACAGATAATTATCATTCATAGGAAAAGAAAGTTGACCTCCGCGGGAACGACAGAGTAAAAGCTGAAATTAAGTCCATTTCGACTACAGGAAGTTAAAATGGAATCATTTAGAAAGCTCTACCGCATAAATTCACAAGGAGTGGGTTTTGGCACGAAGTACAATCACGTTCTTAAGAAAAATATGAAAGGTAGCGGAAGGTAACTGGTGATACAAACAAGCAAATTTTTCCCTCAGCTTGAACAAACAGAAACAGCAGAGTAGTTGAAGTAGTCATTGACGTAGTTTAACTGTTTATATGGGCCATTCAAGCGAGTTATTTTGTTTCTCGTCTTCTTGTTTATTGAGTTCTCTCGATGTGATCGGCACTCCCTAGAGTTTTTAGTTTCACTTAGCAAGCACATAATTTTTGGTCCGAGTACTTTGAATAAAGATTTTTAGTGAAACTCACGCTGGTAAGATATTTTTTATGCACCCGAAAAACGTTTTGCTACCGGTAACTGGCTTAGAATAATTATTTTAAAAGAATGGTTGACGTCAGAAATATTGGCTGTGGTTTATATGCTTGATTAGATTTAAAAGAGAGAACGCAATGTGGTTTCGAGGAGAGTTGGTCTAAAGCCCTTGGTAGTCTGGAATAACTATTGTTTGGGTGAGGCCATCTTCAGGTGTACGATATTTTGGAGAGAAACACAGATAATACCATGTATCGGTGACAAAAATTATCCTTTTTTTCCTTCGTTTTTGCTATATTGAACGTCTGCATTCGAACGTGACGTGGTTTATCTTCCGCTCTGTCTTCATGGTAACAGCTGATACAAATCAAAACAATTGGCTCTTTGTAACGTTTTAATTAAGCTAGTTACAAGATTCATTTGAAAACTGCGACATAGCAGTTTAAAGTACCCTTTCAATGCTTTGAGTCAAGCATTTTGTACCGAAGTATAAAACGCTGAAGCAGAAAGATCAATCAAAATGAGTTCGACTTTCTTGCAAAAGGAACACATAAAATAAACTGTACATTTAGAACAATATTCCGCGGTAAAAAGTTATTTTGATCTACAAATGACTGTGCCTTCTGAGGTGCATAAAACAGTGAGTTGTCAAAGCAACCACATTCTTCACCCAAGTCGGTCTGAAAGATTTGAAAAATCTGCTGTTCACATTTGCTATTCAGCAATTCATTACGAGTCAATACTCTTTGAAACATTGTCCGTCATTACAAGTTACACATCAATGCAAATTATGTTATTGTCAGGATCAAGAACAGTAGAGTCGCAACTCTCTTGTCTCGTAAGAACGTTTACTGGTGTGTTAGAGTTATGCGGCAGCCCATTAACCTCAACAGAGGAAGGCGTCGTAGCTTTGGATGGCCTCCCGTCAGAACCTTTTTGTGTTACGTTGCTATCAGGCTGCTGCACATTATTAACTTCCTGGGTAGTGCAACCAGCATCAAATGCCGAAGTCTGCTGCTGATCCTCCGTAACCTTTTCTTCTTTTGAGACAGACTCAGGGAAAGTCCGATTTTCTTTAGGAATCACTGGTGCTGGAATGAGCACTGCACCTGTCCTGACATTTTGCAGAGACACATCGCCCTGTGTGTCTGCACTGGAGGAACGCCTTCTGCAGCTATCCAGAGTGGACATCACAAAACTTGTCTGTCCAGAAGAACCTCTTGCTTCTGATACAGTCGTAGGTAATTGCTTCCTTGCTGAGACAGCTGGAGGACTATCTCTGACGTTATCATAAAAGGCTTGGTTTAAACACGGTCCTCTGTTTAATCTATTATAAATATTAGAATCAGCAGACACTGGCTCAACAGGTTGGGGGATCTGCGCCACAGGTTGCTGCTGAGGAGGATCCGGAGAGGCACCTTGAGTTCCAATGACAAACATTTGTTCGGCAGAAGGACTTGTGTGCGAACTTGACTTATTTTTACAACGCTTTATCATCTGACGAAAACAAAATTGAATGAGGTAGTTTCAGAATTGAATCAAACGCAATCTAAGTGAATTGTGAATCTTACGTATTGCTTAGGTATCGATACATTGGTCAAAATTACTAATGAGAAATTTTAAATGAGAGAGTGCTCTGCCAGGTGTTCAGTTCAAATACAAAACTCATACTTCTTACCAAAACGACTGCTATTAATATAACAGCTTCGATTGCCATACAACCAGTAATAATTCCTGAGATAGCTCCGTACGACAAGTGACGAGATTTCTTTTTACTGTCAGGTTTTACATCAAAACTGTGGCTTTCTTGTGTGGGATGGGAAATGACAGCTGTGCTTGGTGATTCGCTTGGGCAGATCTCGTTTCCAACTGTACCATATAGGAAAATTTAAAAAAAACATTATTGTTCCACAATGACTAATAATTAGAAGAAGGGATCTTGTATCGATAGATTTTGATGGGATCCTTGTTAAGGAAATTTTCATCTACGGCCCTCTGATTCATACAATGTAATCACAGAAGCTTTGGGTTCATACCGTTGAAAAGTTATCTGAACTAAAAAAAAAAGCAAAAGGGCACATAAAAGGTTATACGAAACACAGAAGTTCCAACGAAGGAATCAAGGCCTAACTCTCGACAAAACACAAGGAGAATGACAAGGAGAATGACGACCTCTACTGAAAGGTAAACAAGTCAACCTCAAGGTTTTTTCACCATTTTTTTAGGCTGAACAATTCGGAAACTACTTTCATCTCGAATACCTTCCTTTCCTTTGAAGCACACGTCAGCACTTGCGCAGTACGCTTTCTCCAATGGTATATCGTCTTTGTTGTTCTCACACCAATAGCAACCAATGATGCCTTCGCACGTTTCTGAACTGTTCTTCTCGCTGCATTTGGGAACGAGGCAATCTTCCAAGACAGGATCTTTACATGAGTTAAGTTGAACGATGTGGCTCGGAGCACCACAGGCAGCTGATAAGACCTCCTCTGCCGAGGGTGCACAAATAGGGAGACTGGAAAAATGTTTTTGTTAAAGTTTTAAAAACGTGGACTCTATCCAAACGAATAGCTCATGAAAGCAGCCCATATCATCTCTCTCTTTATGGAAGGAAATTGATAATTTCCTAGAAAGGTTAATGGGGTTAACTACCAGCTGTTGTTTATAAGCAAATGATCTTTAGCAATTCTTTGTCTCTTATTTCTAGCCCTGGCTGAGAACTGGGGCACTCTAAGAGTACATGAACAGTATCTTTTTCATGAGCAGAAAACTCAAACCTATTCATAGACAGTCCTTTATTATAAGCATTAAGGAAACTGCACCACTTACCAAATTGTCACCTAATGATGTCTAGAAACGAGCCCAAGATAGGTCAATGCTAACTACAATACTGGAAATCACACTTGGTTGACCAACCTGCTATCGTAAAACTCATTGTGGCAGTAATGGAAATCCAAACGAGACATGCAGGGACACTCACACGTCAAGTTGAGAGGGGAACAATTTTTATCAGTGGAACAGGAACACGGCTCTGGGTGACAAAACGAATCTCTGACAGTAACACCTAGAAACAGGCATTAAAAAGTGAGAATAGATATTTCATCTGACAGACTAACGGTGCCAGTGGTCGATTAAAGACTGAGCACTGAATGATTGCTTGTCTATCTGTATGACTGAGTGACTGAACAGCGACTGACTGCCTACTGACGAACGGACCAGTCATTTTTTCCACCAGGAGGGTGGAGGGTGGGGGTGTCGAAGGGTTTTGGTTTTGTCACGATTTACCCAATCCCCTATTTAGCTCTGTAATATTCAAATGAACCCCCTTCATTGGCAGTGAGGTAGCAGTCAATTTTCAATGGTTCCCCTCCTTTATAATCCATTGGTGACGACTAATTCCTACTCCTCTCCCCCTAAGTGATTCCCCCTAAACCCCTTGTAGTGAAGTAGGTATCTTCAATACGAATTACTGTATCTATCCAGATGAAAAGATAATTGTTCATACCTAAGAAGGCATTGGTTCCCACAATTTTCTGCAATTGGTATTTCGAGCATCTTGCACCACTTTGAAGAGTGTCTGCTCCCCCGAGGGGCAAGGAGAGCTCATAAAAGCTTTGCTTTTGAATCTCTTCCAAATGACGACAGTGCTTTTTCACCAGGTATTTCTTTTTGATGAGGTCTTCTGCGATATTTTTCTCTTTCTCTGTGATATGCACATATTGTACATCAGACGATGTGGCTGACGCAAGTAAAAAGTCCTCATGCATGATAAGAAAACCACCGCTGTCCATTACGAAACAAGAGTATGTTTTGGTCTCCTTACACTTTGGATACACATCAGTTAGTAACCTGCCAATGATAATTCTAAATGTTACAAAACATAAGGCTTAACCCTTAAACTCCCAGATCAAATTTGTATTTCTCCTTACTGTCAACCATATAATTATCATAATGTTAGTTCAGAGAATTTTAGTGTTGGATCAGCTAATTATCCTCAAATTGATATTTTTCTTTATTCTTATCACTTATCTGGTTGATATTGTATTGATATAGTAAGGAGAAATTCTGTCTTGGTCACTTATGGGAGTTAAAGGGTTAAGAAAGAGGTGTAACATATCAATTCCTACTGCTGATGGCGAAATGTTTCGTTTTTTATTGTACTTTCGATTGATTTTGCACAAAGAAAGCTTTCAACTCGTGTGATTATCTTTTTCAATTCATTGCAAATCAATGATAAAAAAGCCGTTTTTGCTGCAGTAAACGCTCCAAAAATCGCCTTAACTCAATAAACTCTACTCTTCCTTTCTTGTTCCAGTGTGTTAGTGAACTAAAGGGCTGTAAACTAAAGATTCTCTCATCTCCCCCTAAAAAACCTAAATTGGTAAGCTCTCCTTGAAAGAAAGTAAGGAAAATAATGAATCCTTAATGAGAGCTAACCAATCAGTAGTTTATCTTTGGCATTGAACTGAAATCTTAAACGATCGTGTCGATATTAAAATAGCTAATACGCTATTCAATCAATCTTTTCTTCAATTACCAAATTAAAAAGGAATTGAGAACTGTCTAAATTCTCCACAGTTTTCGTCCTGAACTGGAAGTCTCTTAGGATCAAATTCTGGTCTTTAAGAACAAGAGCACGATATAAAAGATGATTACCTATGAAAATACGAGAGAGGAAAGTCAGCTCCAATTACTCCCAACACTTCATCGTTTGTATAATGCAGATGACTCGGCTCTCCGCGGTATAGTGCACGGCTGGCGGTTACTACAACTCCGGCTCCACCCAGGTCTAAATAAGGAGCAGTTAGAGCAAGTAAACCCGTATGGGCCAAGGCAGAATAATACCTGAATAGAAGATAATAATGATATTGGTTTGTTGAAATAGTTCGAGGGGGAAAGTAACTGTTGAGTATTGGCTTGATTTTTGATGTTGGAATTTGTGTTAAGCTTTTAAACCCCGGATTCAACCATGGGTCAAAGTGATACCTTTTCCTGATTGTATGCATAATTTTGGTGACGTGAAGTATCATAATAGACCGACTAGTCTTCCTTGCAAAATATTTCAAGGAGAAAACACTGTCTTACCATGGCCTCTGCCTTGGATCGTAACGTTTGTCTATCACAACACCTGGAGAACTCCTGATAACTCCATTTGCTGTCCCGATGTATCTCCAAACCAAATATTGGCTAAGGTCAGTTTTGTCATTCAGCCACAGGTCTTCCACTTTCCATGTTGCTATTACAGTATCCCTGATGTCATTCTTCAGACCAGGATTTGTTACCTTCCCTGTGTCATCTTTCATGTACGCAATTAATAACTCTACGTCTGCCTTCGTCTCGTCTTTGCCAATATAGCTGTAGGGATCCTTATAAGCTCCTGGAGCAAACTTCACGGACGTGGTGTCTGTTGATAAAATATTGAAAAGTGCATTTTAGGGTTAGTCATCATCTATTACTTGGGGGGAGGAGTGGATGTTTCTTTCTGGGGATTACAGGGTATCTGTGGGGGGAGGGTGGGGGATCAATTGTCACCAATAGAGCATAAAGGGGGAATAGACAAAATTGACTGCTTATTAAATGCGAATGAGTAGGGGGGAGGGGGCGATCATAAGGATACAGGAAGAGATATGGGGGGCTCAGGTATGTAACTGATCCCCCCCCCTCCATATCAGAAGCTTAAGACAATGGCATAGAGTGGCTGTCTTTTTCGATGTAACTCATTTGAATATCACGTTGTCATTGATTCAGCTAGTTTTACTTACTCTCCCATTTTAATTCTTTACCTTTAGAAGCATTCGCTCCAAAGTGAGAGCATATCTTGCCAGTATGGTATAGGTCGATTCGATGGTAATTGAATGAGTAACCTGCCAAAACAATGTCATGAATAGAAGTTATTGTATGGTCTATTTAACAATTATTCCATGAGCGTGCGTTGGATTTGAGATAGAAGATAGCCAACGAGGCTATAATAATAATTTCATATCCAACAAGCGCGGTATGATATAATGGCTTATAACCCATGAAGGCTAAGCCAATGTCAACTCTTGAATTCATCATCCAATGATCCAGATTTTAACAATATGAAATATGTCAAGTAGAGGGATCTTGGCATATTATCATAGCTCCCTTAAAAAAAAATCAAGTTTCCAATCCTTTTCAGAAAAAGTCGCTTAAGGTCCTATAGTATCAACTCAACTTCTTCAATGCGATTTAGTTACAAAGAACATAAACATTATTTTAAGCATTAGCTGGTGGATTGAGGAAGGGCAACCTGGAAATGCGACACAATTGATAACAGGTCAAGGTTGCATACTGGATTTCCGTTGAATATTTTCTACGAGATGAGAAACTCCAAGGGACATTTGCGATAGGATCCGAGAGTAATTCAATAAGTTGAAATAATCGATCAAGCTTAAAGCTACGCCTTCTGACATAGGCCTTATAATTTTACCATTTGGCATCTGGAGTGGTTTCAGTTGGTCCTTAGAATGAGAAACAGGAACAACCACGCCCACAGTGAAGTCGACCTCCATTAAAGGTGTCCAGAAGTATGTGCAGTTCACTTCCGTCTCTGTCACCCCTTGTATCTCTGTTCCCCCTCGTGGTAGAAATCGTTTGGCAACAAAAGTCTTTGACCCAGATTTTCCTCTTTGAAGATAAAAACAACACATTCTATTTTTGGGAAACTAAAGTTAAGCAAAGGTAAGGAAGACAAATGTTTGAATAAACTACTCAGGAAACACTGCCATGTGTGTACCAGAAAGGACGTTAGTCCTGTAGTTAGATTGAAGCTTTTCTGTAAATTCAACCTACTTTTTGATCGATTCAAACACCTCCTTGAATTCTGCATCTGGCTCCAAAGTTGTTATGTCCATAAAAAAGGGGTCCCCATAGGCATCAGTAGGGGCTGGTAGGAGAGGGTGGATAAGGGTCCTTCCAGAGTTGCTTATCATGAATGCATAAGTACTTTGGCCTTGATTAAAGAATGTTATGTCGGACAAAAGGTCCTCAACGGTGATGTCAGTCCCTACCACGCCAATGAATTTTCCATTGTGAAAACAAGACAAGGAAATCGTCAAGACTTGCCCTGAAATGAAGGTTGGGGAAAAATAGCTTTGATACGTGAGTAAGTAATAAAATACATTTTACTGGTTTTATGACGTGATGAAGCCGCGCAGGATTTCAGGAGAATACGAGAAAAGTTTTTAAATCACGAGCTGTCAGAGTAAGGTTCTCGATTGTTCTTACAACATCTCAAGTGGGTTTATCACTTCATAAAACCTGGAAAACTGAAATTTTTTTTCTGTTTCCTTTATGGAATAAAATAATTTTTGTCTCTCAGAGAGTATCAACTATTTTGTTCATCAAGTCGCTAATTATAGAAAAACCCGTCAAAACGCGAGAAACCAATAAAAGCGCTCGAAAGAAAACAAGCAGCGTAAATGACAACAACCAAAATTATGAAACAAATTAGACAAAGAATCCCTAAATAAACTGTAGAGGAAACTGAAGGGAAATATTGGTAGGCAAAAACTATGATTTGCTGTTAAGACGTAAATCAATTTGGACAAGGAAAAGCGAACTTTGAGGTTAAAATGTTGGTCTGTCTCCGTAAATCAGTTTTATGGACACTGGGATGGATAAGCACACTATTTAAGGGTCAATTTATACTGCAGAAATCTTCATAGGCTTTGGCAGCCAAGCGAGTCAGTAACGTATCTACACCTAACTTGCCCAGTAGCCGTAACTGCACGACAATTACCATTTGTCTCTGATAATCATACAAATTACAAAATTAAATCAAAGGTGTCTGATTCAACATACCTAATCCAAAAGCGTCCACATATGGCACAGACACAACTGGATCAAGGTGGGTCCCCAGCGAGAATAAATCATAATAGGTGGCCATGTCTCCTCTTAAGGTTTTGAAGTCCTTAACATATTTGTATCTGCCGGTCTAAAAGGAATATAAAAAGGGTGAGTAAACCATAACTAAAAAAACTCAGTGTCGAAAGCAATCCTAGAAGGGGGTGCTGTGGTGCTGCGTCGGTGGGAGAGTGTAACAAGGCAATTTGGTATTAGCGGCTGAGTTGATAACGTTAATTGGCCACCGTTTAGAGTTTGAGGAGCTTTCAACCTTTTAACGATGGCCAATTTAGGTCATCAACTCGCTTGATAATACCCAATTACCGAAATTGCATTGGTTTTACCTTACCTTGCTCTTTGATTGGTCCAAAAAATTCGTACCATTCCCCACCAATCAAATGCAGAATTGAAACCGATGCGACTTGTTCACTCGCTTTTTCCCGCGCTTCGGGTAGCTGGCTTGTTTTTATTCCGCTTCCTCCTGATTAGTCGTTGCGATTATTTTGGTTTGGGTTTTTACGACACTCGATCGAAATATACTTTAATACGCAAAACGTTATTAAGATGAATGCCAACTTACTGTGATGTCTCCAACCGAGATATCTGCTGGTATGCCATATTTTGCTGTGTCCTGCTTCGCTATGTCTTCTAGAATTGTTTGGTTTACATTGCCAAATCCATACGTTAGGATGATAACGGAGTTGTTGAGCTCAACATTCTTATCCCTTATTGTACGGAAAATAGAGTCCTTCTTAATATCCGAGGGTTTGCCATCCGTTAGAAACAGAATGACTCTTTTCTTTTTTTGCCCCGATTCTCCAGAAACTGAACCCTTGAAGAGACTGAATGCTTTTTCAAAAGCCGGCTTGTACTGACTCAGACCTGCAAGATTATATCATAAGAGTCCAAAGGAATCATCCAACATTGTGATTAACGAATGGCAGAAGGACAGTGCGAGATCTTAAAACATTCTAAAGATCTTTAGAAGTAACTTAGAAAAGATTGTTGCGAGTATTTAAAATGAAAATTATTTGAAATGTCTGATAATCAGAATTTGAAATACGCTTTGTCACTACTGCCTGCAACTCACATTGTAGTAAAAACAATTTCAATATTTACCATGCGGTACTAATCCTTCCACATAATATTTCATTTTCTTTATATTTATAGGAACTGCTTGTGCTAATCGTTCACTATAGCATGGAATTTTGCCCCCAGCGTCTCCTGGCGTTGAGGCAACAGTACAAAATGAAACAACTCCAACCTGAAGAGATAAAATCATGTTTCATCATCACCCAGAAAAGGCAAAATCTTTAATTTTCCTAGTAACTATCCTTTAGACACGTTGGTTTAGACTCAGGGAATTTTATGAAATGAAGGACATTATATCCTTGAATAAGTCCTTCCATTTCCATCGTCTCATGTTTTATGCCTACCTGGTCCTAACCTCCAACGAGAACTAATTTGATTTGATACTTCCAAATTGTGCCAAACTACTTCTTACCTGGTCTTTAGGGTTCATAGTGTCCAATACTGTTTTGGCAGCTTCTTTGGCAGCGTGAAGTTTTTCCCCAGTCATGGATGCGCTGATATCAATAACAAGCACCACATCTTTGGCTTCATGTGTAGCAGTTTCCACGTACCATGGTCTGAAACGAGGGTCAAACCTACCACAATCCTCTTTATCGTCATACACGGGGAAAGTGGTCATTACACCTTGCTCCGATCCAAAATATTGCCATTTGATAAAAGGATACGTTCTGGAGATATCTCTCATTTCCTCGGCAACACCTTTATCTAAATAGACGAGGTTTGGAAGGGCACTGTTAGAAATCTTCAAACAGACACGGTCCATATCCACTTTGGTATGGAATCGAATATCATACTTGAGTGTGGATTTGACAACATTGCAGCATTCCTCTTGAGGCACCGGTTTAACAGAGTCCGCTCCGACGTATGATGCTTCTACAGCTGTCTTGAGCCGTTTTACGACCTCAAATCTTACTTTGAACTTGTCAGAAAGTTTTGCAGCAAGTTCTGGAGTCACAAGATCTCCTTGCACTGTTCCCTTGTGATACTGAAGGCTTTCGAAGTACTGCTGCAAAGATCAAAGAAAACTCTCAGGCGATACAGGATCAGAGTTGAATAATGCATGCATTGTTTTGATTGGATCGTAATCAAGGTCTGTTGGAGGATAGACGCATATATGATGTCATCCTTAGCAATAGTTATCTTTTCTTTATCACATGAAACAAATAGATTCTATGTTTCCGTGCACCTGTGACGCTAGATCACAAATGACGTCAAAATGTGGTAGGAACACCCATGACACTCCCGGCTGCGCCTCGTGGGCCACTTTTTTGTCATCTGTGACCTATTTCTGAACAGTTATACGCACGACAACAGGAAGTCTACTTGTTAAAAAATAATAAAAGGCTAAACTGTAGAATTTACATGTCATTGACTAAGAATAACTTTTATTGTGTTATGCCTCGATCTTCAAAGCCTCCCGACACATGTAAATGAGGTGGACCAAAGTGGCAGGCCATTCTGCTGTTGCTCGTAAAAAGTTCCCAGCTTTACGCCCTGATTTGTTTGTCTTTTAACAAACCCATCAATTAAGGGCTTAACTTTTGAGCCTTTAGGCTTAACTCGTGAGGAGAAATAACAAAATTATGATGTTGAAAGGGTATGCCATCACTTCCTCTTTCGAATGCGTTCGGAGCAATGGCCGGCGGTTGTGTCACCGAAACACAGTTTCCAGCATAATTGTACCTTGGAGTTTCGAACCAAGGGTTCCAAGATCTTTAAGATATGAAACTAAAATTAAAAAAAGATGCTCTGAGCTACAAACAGTCTGATTCGGAACTGTTATGTAGGTCAACGCATCCCATTTGCAATGTCGTCACTATTAGTGATTAGTCAGAGGCGAGAGGCAAGCATAAAAACGAAACATTAAGATCGTTCTAAGAACTTTTCCGAGTGAAGCTCTGAATGACTTTCATTTTATTATTAGCGTTGAGACGAGATGATCTTTGAAAGGAAAATTTTGAAAACCGTAGACATAGTTAATGATTCAAAATTACAAGAATCAATACGTCTGAAGTGGGATATGCATCTTGTTTGTGGCGCATAAATAATTGGCAGACAGGAACTAAAGATGTTGGATGACTCAACATTTTCAGAAAGTTAACAGCTCTAATTACAAGTTTCCACGAAAAAAGGAGGAAACATTACTGATATTATCTTGCAACGGTTGATGGTTATGCCACACATCACAAGATAAATGCGGATAACTGCTTCGTTAGACATGAATGATAAACAGGAACTCGTTAGATTGTTAGTCACGCAGATGATCCGTAAAAAAAAAATCGAAATACAAAACTCACAACTTTTCAAAAAGTAGATAAGAAGTAACCTGTACATATCTCAATTAATGTAATCACAAATAAAGGAAGTAAATGATAACAAATGTTAACAAATAAGAAACTAACTCTCACAGTTGCAATGCAATTTAAGAAATTGGAGAAAATAAACCTTGCAAATAAATCAGGCTTCAACAAGGCTCGAATACAAACCTGGGCTTTTCTATTCTATCAATTATATTTCTTTGAAAAAATAGTCCCTGATACACCATACCGAGGGAAATTAAATATCCTATACCTGCATTTCGTTCACTCCTAGCGCATCCCTGGCGAATGTTTGCAACTCTCTCCCTATCAACCTTGGATCCAGAAGACTTGCATTTGTTTGACTCGCTAGCAAAATGCAGAGGGCTAGTAACAGTATGAAGGCTTTTCCATCTTTGAAGAAAGCTTTTCTTGTTGTCAAAGCCATTTCTTTTAACTTATCTCCGCTCTCTTCCGCTATTTTCACGTTCTGCGCTGGTGGCTCTTAAAGCAGACTTACATTTCAAGACTGCGCACTTATTTAACAATGGTATGGTAATTTATATAATTTGCGTCGTAAGAGAATCGTGTAAGACCTCATGTCACACGACATAACTATTTTTAAAGTGTAGTACGACTCTAAATATAAGTAAAGTGAGACCGAAAAGTAACACAATTGAAAGAATTAGCCTCAAAATGAAAAAGTTTGATCAAGAATGGAGGAGACCGTTGTGAGGTTGTGAATTACAGCGGATGATCGAAGTACTTTTAATTACGTAACTCTTTAATTGAAAGACCCCCTAGCGAGTAAAAATAGCAGTAATTGTAATCAGCTTAGGTGTTTTTGGATGTTGCTTGGTAGCCATGCAACCAAATAAAAGAAGGGAAAAACCCCCTCATGACTAATCGCTGTCGCGCTGGTTTAAGGAAAATCATTCTGTGCACTTAGTGTTGCTATATATGGATCTCTGTGTGTCGGCGATTAACAATTTTTTGTTCTGTGATTACAATTCGATTTTATTGACCATCAGTTGTCAACTGGTCAGTGTCCTATCCGGGATTGACGCAATAAGTGTTAAGTAACTGCACTTGATTTTTTTTTTTCACTTTGCTCGTTAAATGATGTAGACGATGATTATGCTGACCAGTTAGGAGTTTGACTATTTAGTTTATTATTGTTACAATCATGAAAACCGTTACCTTATTAACAGTACATAAACTGCCCTTACAAAAATCACTTATCTCATTTTGTTTACAAGATTAACAATATTTAGTGTTAGTGCTTAATCTGCACACAATCCTAACAATTAAAGACAACGAATATTTCCGATATCTCTCCTTATTATATTTTTTCATTTATTTAACTTTATTTAAACACGGATAAAACAACAGGATTTCAAGTAATCAATAAAATTGCGATAACTACATTGTTAAGATACTAATCTACTACGAATTAAATCTAATAACAGCAAAATAAAAACAATAACGAAGTGCCTGCTTTCCATGAATGCCGTGTGATTAATTAACTTATTTATTATCAAAAAGGAAACCCCTGCAGCCGGATTTACAACTAGCAATAGTTTGAGCTTGCCGCAGATTGGTTGGTAAGCTGTTCCACATCACCGTACCATTAGAGCTGAAACCTTTTTTTAGAAAATTGATTCGGGGGAGTGGAACAAGAGAACAGGTAGACGTGAAATTAAGAGATCCTCGCAGCTAAGAACACTACTGAAACGAGTAGTTGAAAATAGGACCTGAAAAATTCAGGCCCGTACAGGATTTGAACCCATGACCTCTGCGATACCGGTGCAGCGCTCTACCAACTGAGCTAACAAGCCAACTGGGAGCTGGTCAATGTGTTCTTAGCTGCGAGGATCTCTTAATTTCATCTCTTCACCGCAGTGCAAATATATGAATTTCATATATCTAAAATCATCATTTATTACTTGTATGGTTTATTTGGACCCACAACACATTTCAGATAATCAAGGGCGACACCATTAGGAGATTTATAGACCATAGTGGCTGTTTTTAATTCTCGTTGGAGATTAAGTTTTTGCCAGCCTAGTCTAACAAAGAGATCATCCGCATGGCAGGAGAGGTCAAACACGCGCAGCACGATTCTGTAGTTTTTGTAGTTTAATAGAAAGAGATTTATTACAATTTCCCCATACGACACTACAGTAATCGAAACGAGGTTGAACAAAGGCATTATAGATGCATAGGAGCGTTTCAAGGAGAACAAAAGATCTGCTTCTCTTTACGATGCTACTGCAGGAGGCAATTTTTTTGGAAATATGTTCGATATGTACGTTCGTTCCAAGTTAGGTTTTCATCTATATATACTCCAAGAGATTACGTAAATTCTATTTGTTTTATAGAATTGCCGTCAATAGAAAAAGACGGGAGTCTTTTAAAAGTATTGTTTAAAATATAACAGCTGGTGTCAAATATAAAACAGCTTATTGACAAATATTAACACTTTTTACAGCACTTATATAGCTGTTTATATTGTCACCATATATTTATAATATTTTTGTTTAGTATGATTCGCCAAAAACGAGAAAGGAAAATTCTTCCTGATGTCAAGAATGATATATGGACAGTGTACAAATAAATTGGAGACGAGGAAGTGAAATTTCACGGGTATTGCACATCAATTGATGTATTATACGGAAATTATAATTTACCACCAATTTCGATTTGTATTTTCTCAGTTGCAGAGTGAAACATGTACCAGAAGCCAAATCTAAAAGGTTTCCCTTTTGGGCAGTCATACCAGCGTACGGTAAGCAATTTAGACTCTCTTTTCATTGTCTTCCCCATGCCCCTGCGGCTTTTGTCCGTCGCACACCCACAGGGGTAACGCTGGAATAGCTAAAATCGACAGAATCTTGAAGGAATTTTTTTCTCGTTTCGATCCAAGAGGCCGCAATCCCCTTACGAAAAGGAAACTAAGCGTGAACGAGATCGCCATAATTATTTTTAACCTCCTCGCAAAGGATTCCGGTACAACAAAAACGTATGCTGCCCCTTTTAAAAATGAAAAAAGGAATATTAGAGATGTCCCTATTTTTTTTTTCGTACATCATACTTTGCAAGGTTAATCAGAAACACCGTTGAATGCCTGATCGTCGAGTCTGCAAGGCTAAACCTTGTCTGTAGTGTGGTAATCCAGTCAAATTCGAGAATGAGTTGTTCTTTGTTGGCACTGTAATCCGACACTCGTCGCTGATCCAGGGTGGTCTTTGGCGCGGAAATTTCACATTAAAATAGCGCCATGTGATTGGTCAATGCCCACATTCCTCGAATGCATTCAGGCATATCGTCTTTCCGGTGAATTCTCAAAGTCGACTGTTGGCTTTATTTGCAAGACAATTTCGTCACTGTTTGGAGAATTCTCCGTCATTTTAACTGGTGATTTGGCTAAAGTTATTCTGAATCAGAGAGACCTCTTTTGGATAGCTGAACTGTTACGTTGAAATAAGAGTTGTCTGCGAAAACGGTCTTCCTTGGAGACAACTGGTTGCAGATTCGAAGACACTACATGGTTTACACAAGGTTTCAGGTTTTTTGCGAATAATTTGAGCTAATTCTTCGAAGATAATTCCTTCACTCGGCAGTTCAAGGTAAGGAAAAGTTAATTTGCCACTCCAGTCAAAATATCCACTCCTACGTAAGAATTTTAGGCTTTCTGTCGCGCCTTGTATTATTGCGTCCCCGTATGACATGTGGTAAATAAATTGGTGCGTGACTTCAAGATAAACGTAGACATTTTTCCTTTAGTTGCTACCGCTACGGCTTTTCTTGTCACCACATGAATGATCGTAGCTCGAATTATCTTTTGATATTTTAAAATTACAGTTCTCCACAGTAGATTTCACGTTGTTTAGGAGACATTTTGATAATACCAACTTTCGTTTCAGCACCTCAAAAATCTTTGAAGTTTTGCACGTGGACAAAATTATGGCAAATCTTTGGAGAATTGCGTTATTGAAGTTTCTTTTAATCGGTAAGTTAAAGGCCAAAAATTATAAAAGCTCTACACATTTTTCTTTTGCATGTTTTATTCGTTATTTCTCCCGCACCCAATGACCATTTCCTTTCTTTGACCTGATGTGAACCTCTTCTCTGACATCCTGTCGACGGACATATTAAGATGTGAGACAATTTATTTGAATCTTTTCATTCGAGACCGTGCAGCTAATCCACGACAATCCACACTCGTGTTCCTCGTTTGCATGATAAAGTGTTTACGCAAGTCATTACTGAAGTTAAGTTCTTCCTACGATAAAAATTATGCAATTAAGACTATTTAAACCAAACTGTCCGATGTGGGCTTTATAATTTGTTGATGTTGTGGTATGGGAGCGGTAGCCTAGGAATTCCTGTGGTTTGCTCAGCTTTGTTAACGCCCTGTCAACGATAGTAACCATTTTGCCGTAATTGTCAGAACAAGTTGTTATTCCAGATGCTTGAATTCGAAGTTATCTGATTCAGGTTTCTTTCCTTGAGAAAATAACAACTGCCCTCTTTAGAATTTTGACAAATAAAGGCACTAGATAAATAGATAACAATCGTTAATTCCAAGCGTAAACACTATCGACCTTTGTAATCATTTGATAAAATTTATTCTCACCTAAACCTTATGATTTTAACGACAACCTGATGACTTTTCTTAGTAAATATTGATTACTCACTGCACATCCTTCCCTTCCGCCTTTCATTTTATTTATTTACGAAAAAGAGCCAACAAAATTATCATTTTGTTGATTATTGATCGTAGAAACTGCCTCGCCAAAGTCTCAGTGAGGAGTATGGTTCATGATGACGATGACCAAAGAGAATGATAGTTGATTTTATTGAAGAGGTTCTTGATTGTTTAAACAATTTCTTCTTGAGAGCACAATTGTGAATTTATGGGGAATGGTAGAGAGAATATGTCTGTTGATTTAAGGGTGTGAACGGTTTAAGAACTTGGCCTCTGCTTCTTGAAATGTGATTATCTCCATTAAAGGTTTGTCCTGTAAATACTCAATTTTGGCACTTGTAGTGAAGTTTAACTATGTGCTCTTTTAGGAATGGACAATGTCTAGTGTGTGTCCATCCAATTTAGGATGCATGTGGATAGTTCAGAGTGCATGGAGATAGGGTAAGAGATGCTTGAGGTTCAGCCGAGAGAATCTCTAGCTACCTCAGTGCTCTCCCATGATAAATTTACAAAGAAATGTATAACAGCTAGAAGGTAGAATTGACAATCAGTTCTTGGGATTTAGGTGGTTAACAGGCATTTTTTTTTTAAATTTTTCTCATGAAGGTTGTCAAGTTTTTGGTCAAAATGGCAATACTCAATGCGACAAACGTAGTTGTTACCCAGCTACAGGGGATCTCATGATTGGCCGAAGTGCCAATTTAACAGCTTCCTCCACTTGTGGTATGACATCGCCCGAAGACTATTGTATTGTGGCACATCTCCAGGCCAACCCAGCGGAGTGCTTTTTTTGTGACACAAGTACCCCTGAAATAAACCATGAAGCAGAGAATATGATATCAACCTTCAATGGAAATAGAGACAAAACATGGTGGCAATCAGAAAATCTCAAAGAAAATGTATACCTTCAGGTAAACATTTCCACTTTAATAATCCTTTACACCTTAACCTCAGAATCTATTGTATAATCTCCATAGTCTTCTCTACAATTTTCCTTTGGTAATGGCTAGGAAATTCTTTTAACAATCCAACCTTCATTGGTTGGAAATCATATCCTCTTTTCTCATGATTATAATAGATGATTCAGCAGTATGAATGTAAGGAGAAATTAAGTGCTGGTCACTCTAAGGGTTTAACCCGTCCACTTCCATGAGTGACCAAGACAGAATTTCTCCCCACAACATCAATACAGTAACAAGCAGACAAGTGATGAGAATGTATGTAGAGAAAAATATCAATTAGGGCATAATCAGTTGATCCAATGCCAAATTCTCCACACTAACATCGCAAAAATTGTATGGCAGAAAGTAAAGAAAATTACTGTTAATATCTTGGGAGTGATAGAGTGAAAATCATTCCAATCAAATCAATATTATCAAGATCTTATTGAAATGACATACTTTAAATTTCTACATTGTACTTTAAATACTTAATATCTTGTTCATGGTTTCAAATAGCTTGATCTTGAAGCTCAGTTTCACTTCACACACTTGGTGATGACATTCCGCACTTTCCGTCCTGCTGGAATGCTTATTGAAAGATCATGGGACTATGGTAGGAACTGGCATGTTTATCGATACTTTGCTGCAGACTGCGAGAAGACCTTTCCTGGAATTCCCCACAGACAGCAGAAAGAAATTGACGATGTCATTTGTACAGAGGATTTTTCTTCTGTAGAGCCATCATCAAATGGAGAGGTAATAATTCAGATGAATACAGTGTAGCTTAGGCTGTGTGGCTGACAAACAAACTTGCAAGGGGGGAGGGGAGAGGAGGGAGGGCTAAGTGTCAAACTACTGAGGTACATTTTTGTTTTACAATCTGTCACAAGAAAAAGCAATGAAATTTAAGCCAGCACACAAATCAAGCCTATTTTGATGTATACATTTCTCCTCAGTGGTATGCAACCATTTTCTTCTGATAGCAGATGTAAACATTTATTCAAGATCAGGGTGGTTTTCTTTACTGATCTCTTTGTTATTTCTCACAGCCTTTGCTTGTGAAAAATTTGCTAATATTGAAGAAGGAATTTGTTGCTGAACACTAACTTAAAAAAAAAAAACTGTATGTCAACATTTAACCCTTTAACTCCCAGATCTGATAGTCAATTCTCCCCTCCAGCTACGACATATTTCCTCTTAATTTAGTTACAAGAATTTGGTGTTAGATCAAGACAGCAACTTCTATTTAATATGTTTGAGTATTCTTATTACCTGTTTGTTGGAAAATGTAAGCATATTGCAGGGAGAAGTTAGGTGTTAATCACTTCTGGTAGTTAAAGGCTTAAAACATCAATCTTACTAAAATGGAACCTTTGTTTACTTTTGACTCTGTCTTCCTCTGCCTGGCCTTTTTACACCAGCCATGCATGCTAGAATTACTGGTAAATTGCTGGAATAAGTTAATAACTGAGAATCAGTTGTTTGAATTTTGAATTCATTTGTCTTTTATGATGTTTTGATATTGTCATTTCTTTATCTAGATTTTGTGCAGAAAAATTATAATGAAATATGATTGCATACATTTCTGTTGAAGTGTCTTCATTGATAACTACATGTACAAACTCAAAGCTGAGAAGCCACTCTTTTGAAAACTGCATGTGGCAAAGGAAACTAGTGTACAGGTTGCAGTTCTCCTGTCTTCCTACCTTTACAAAAAGCAACACTCCAAATTGCAATTCAACCTGGAAACAGTAGACAAGAAAAGCCTCTTTTTGGAATGTCCACTGATAAATTCTCATTATTATCATTATTTTATTATTTATGGGTAATGCATAATGCATGTGAACATAACATTTAGTGTGTGTATTTCTAACAGTTTTGTACTTGATCATGTATCAGGTTATCTTCAGGGCACTTAATCCTCAAATTCCAATCAAGAATCCCTACAGCGAAAAAGTACAGAACCTGCTCAAGTTGACAAACATACGGATTAACTTTACCAAGCTTCACACCTTGGGAGACTTGGTCCTGGATCCTACACAGCCTGAAGCCAGATTAAAGTATTACTATGCCGTGTACAACCTTGTGATCAGAGGTAGCTGTTCTTGTTATGGGCATGCTGAGCAGTGTCTACCTTTGGATGATAGTGAGCAAGACATTACTGGCATGGTGAGAAACTGTGTTAAGATGTAGGTCTTTAAATCAAATACAAATCTCTTAATAGAAATACAGAAAATACAAAATTATGTGATAATTTAAATAAATTGCAATTTTTTTTAAAAATTCAAGAGTAAAAGAGGTTGCATCATTTTCTCTTAATAGGTGCATGGACGGTGTGACTGTGCTCACAACACAGAAGGGAAGAACTGTGAACGATGCAAAGATGGTTACAATGACACACCATGGCGGCCTGCTACTGTGGATGATTCATATGAATGCAAAAGTATGTATTCTGCTTGAAGTTCCATTCTAGAACATGTAGGAGACACAATGGCTTAGTAATAATGAATTCTTTTGTGGCGTGTATTCCTTCTCTTCATGTAATCTTGTTTGTAGACAAGGCCTGATAAAGGCACATTGTTTTGTATTGCAGAGTGTGACTGCAATGGCCATGCTGAGGAATGCCGATTCGATCCAGCTGCATTTGCTAATTCTAATTTTACTAGTGGTGGTGTCTGTGTCAACTGTCTGCATAACACTGTTGGTCGTAAATGTGAGAAGTGTAAGCCTCTGCATTTTCAGGATCCATCCAAAGACTTTAGAGATTCAGCTGCTTGTATTCGTAAGTCCAGTCCAAGTATTTTGAATATCACACTGTAGTTAGGAAAACATCTACTTGTAGATAGTGGGTTTTCTCTTGCAATTTTATTGTTATAAACATCTCTAGATCCTGTTGTTTCAAGATTTGCTTGAACACATTTAGTACTAGTATAAATTTGCCTTCTCTCCCTACCTTAATTGACAAAAATACTGGATTGCCTGCAGTATGATAGGTTGTCTAGGACACCTAGGAAGCAAAGGGCAGAGTTTTATAGTAATGCTCTCAGCAATTACATAAGCTATTAACTACTTCGTAGAAATTACCGGACTGTAACAGGAGATCAGAAAGCTACCCTTCCTTTATTAGACTGCTCAGCATATAGGTACAAGGCTGTGTATTTTTACATTTTTTATGTGTAATTATGTGAAATTGAACAATCATTAATGCACATGGTGCAGCTGGTCAGCTCTCAGCCCATAGCAGGGCGTGAAATTGCGCCTAATACAGGCGCCAATGCGACTAAATTTTTCACTTTGGCGACCAAATCCTGAAAGTTAGTCGCCAAATTGGCGACTACAACGTTTCATCATAACCTTACTAAGAGATATAGTGAATTAAATAAATTTGCAAAGATAAATCCGCGGTAAACTTCCTCGTTAAGTTTGTTTCCAAAACGTAGCACATGCATCTCGATCGATAACTAGACGCCATCTTGGATTTAGATGAGCCTGAACGTTGTATATCATACATCCTAGTGTCCACTTTGTAGCACGTCAAAAATCTTTTCCCTAACTTAATTTTGGAGGATCTATCTAGAACGCTGACAGCGTAAAGAAAGATTTTGTTTGTCTTTGAAAATGGCGACCAACTTTTTTTGAATTGGCTACCACTTTGAAGAATTTAGGAGCCAAGTGGCTATCTGAAAAAAAAGTTAATTTCACGCCCTGCATAGGACCAGCACTTTCCAAGCTTGGTATTTTGTTCATATTGTAAAATTGTGGATTATTGTTTGTAATGTACATGAACATGTAGCTTTCCAAAGTAACTTTATCTCCACAGAATCTTTTAAAATTGTTTTTGAAAAATCAGTTTAAGTCCCTTCTAAGATCAGTTTTTGATGGGGATCTGATTTGTTTGTGGTCCATCTCATAGCATTGTCCATGTCATCATCTTTCATTTTATTTCTTAGCTATTTTACATCTATATATTTGTATTGTTTTATACCCTGTTCCCTTGGGTGGGTGCTATGCATGGGTCTTAATGTCCTGTTTGGGCCTTTCTCTCTTGAAATTTTAATTTCTGTCGTTTTTTCCACTAATTCTTTCCTATCCTGTTTTTACAGTATTTCTTTATTTATTGCCCATTAAAGATTTAAGGAATGATTTGAACAGACACACTCTCTTGAGCGCTAGAAAGAAACATCTCTATGTACAGCTGTAACACCACATCGTCTCAACTAAAGCTGATCCATGAAATGTACACATTTTTGCTGCTACATGCACAAGAGAGAATTTCAGGACGAATAACATGTTTAGTATTAAAAAACAAACAAACAAACAAACAAAATCAAAATAAAACAAACACTACCAGTAACAAAAACCTGAGACATTTTCCTCAAGCCGGTATTAGATTAATCAAGTGAGATGGATAGGAATTTGTTAAGTCGAGTGGGTTGGAAGAGAAATTTTCTTTAACAAATTTAAAAGTGAGGAGCGTCATTATTGCTTTTAATGCAAAATGGCATCCTAGAAAAGCAGCAATAATGATATAATAGGTTTTATTATGTATTAGTTATTAGTTATTCTGGCGAGATAGAATTATATATTTTACTCTCTTAGCTTGCGCTGAAGGATTTCACCGCATATAGATAAAGTTATTTATATATTTTTTATTATTTGTTTATTTATTGTCATTTGTTGGGTGTGTCTAGCTTGCAACTGTGATTCTGTTGGCGGTATCAGCGGGGGAGAGTGTGAAGGGAAGACTGACGAGGAAGCAGGCTTGGTGGGCGGCCGGTGTATTTGTAAAAAAAACGTTGAAGGATCCAGATGCAGTCGGTGCAAACCAGGATTTTGGAATTTAAGGAGAGACAATGATGATGGTTGTACAGGTGAAAGAGCTTTATCCCTTTAACTCCCATAAGTGACCGAGACAGAATTTCTCCTTACAATATCACTACAATATCAAGCAGACAAGTGATGAGAATAAAGAAAACTATCAATAAGGGGGTTATAAGTTGATCCAATATCAAATTCCCCAAACTAACATCACGAGAATTGTATGGCAGACAGTAAAGAGAATTACTAATGACATCTTCGAGTTAAAGGGTTAAATTAATATTTCAGTTGTCAGGTGGAAAGCACTGATTTTCAACAAACGGCACGGACATCCGTGGAAAAAAAAAGATTTAAACCAAGCTTAAAACCAAGATTTTCCGACAACTGCCTGAATGTTCTGGTTGTAATTTTTCCAGTGCTGTGCCTTCCGTAAATATTTCGACATGAACCTTTCACGTTCCCTAAGAGGGAGGGAGGGAGGGAGGTGGGGTCTCCTCGGGCTTCCAGACGTGGGTGAAGCTTCTTTGGAGGGGGGAATTATCAAAAGGAGGTTTTAGCTTATTAAAAACTCATTGATGAGCACCTAATTGCAAGTCATTACTCTGTTTTTGACTGTTTTTAAGCTCCGGTGATTACTGTGTGACAACTGCATCCCTTTGGTCTCAAAACTTGCAATGTTCTAAACGGAAATTAAAATTGAAAAAGGCTTTTACATTCAGGCACTCTTTTTAACGAATTGCTACCAAGCCAAATTGGATATAATTATTATTTGAGTGTGCTGTTCAGGACGGCGGGTTCTTACAGTAGCTAGTAGTGCCATTGTGGTAGCTTCCTAAATACCTGTTTGTCTATTATACACGCCGTTCGGTTCAGATCTGCTAGGTCCGCCAGCGTGCGTTCTGGGATATGTTTGATTATTTGATGGGGCAACACCAAGCCTGTTAACTGTTGCACGTATATTTTACCTTTCAGCTTGTGGCTGTAGTCCCCTTGGTACCTTGGGTGTATGTAACCCAAAGGATGGAAAGTGTTTGTGTAAACGGTACGTTATGGGACCAAGATGCGACCGCTGTCAGGTTGGTGTGATCGTGAACGCTAAAACGCGCTTTATGTGATCGTTCGTTTGTTTCTCCATTCGTTTACTTTTTCTTTTCTTTACTCGTGCCTTGTGGCTTTGTTGACACATGCATTCTTTCCCACTTGCGGTTCCCTTCGTTCTTTCTTGTTTTCAGCCTATTGTGCCCTCGTCACTTCGTGCCTTCGTGTCGTCAGCCTTTCTTGCCTTTGTACCCTCGTCCCTTCGTTTGTTTGGTTGTTCGTGTGTTCATTTCTTCGTTCCTTTGTGCCTTCGTTTCGTCAGCCTTTTTTGCCTTCGTACTCTCGTCCCTTCGTTTGTTTGGTTGTTCGTGTCTTTATTTCTTTGTTCCTTCGTGCCTTCGTGTCGTCAGCCTTTTTTGCCTTCGTACTCTCGTCCCTTCATTTGTTTGGTTGTTCGTGTCTTCATTTCTTCGTTCCTTTGTGCCTTCGTTTCGTCAGCCTTTCTTGCCTTCGTACTCTCGTCCCTTCGTTTGTTTGGTTATTCGTGTCTTCATTTCTTCGTTCCTTCGTGCCTTCGTGTGTTGGTCCTTTCGTGTCTGATTGATTTCGTGCGTTTTTCCTTTCATTTCTAAGTCCTTTTGTCTCCTCTCCCTTTCGCTCCCAAAATTATTCATTTGATTTAACATGTTACCCTGCATTCTTTATTTATTTGTTTTCTCATCATTCAGCCTGGTTTTTGGGGACTGGGTAATAATGCCCAAGGTGGATGCAAACCTTGCAGTTGTGACGTTGGTGGTGCGTACGAGAGGAACTGTGAACAAGTTAAGGGCCAGTGTCGCTGCCGTAAAGGTATCACGGGAAGAAAGTGCGATAAAGTCCAGACCGGGAATTTCTTCCCTCTACCAGATCACCTGAAATACGAGTCTGAGGAAGCGAAAATTCTTGGGGTACGTACAAAACGTGTGATGCATCATACAAGAGTAGAACGACAAGCCATACCCTACCTCCCCTGTTACTTTTGTCTCCACACCTCCCACGACGATTGATAACAAAAAGCTTTAATGGAAGTAAGATATGTCAGAGCCCTTCTCGTTTTTGATCGTCGGAAAATCAAAAGCAAACCAGTCACAGAAGCCAATCAGAACAGAGGAGATTATCGCACGGAGCCAACGCGAACCTTAGGTTTCGAGAGCGGAAAAACGCTAGTGACTAAGTCGTGGTTGGTTTAAGAATTGCATGTAATTGGTTGAGGAGGTAGCGGGAGTTTTCTAAACCAAACAAACGTGACTTCCGCTCTTCAGCTTTGAAACTCTTTACAGTGGCCAATTTACGTTATCAACTCAGTTGATAATTCTTAATTACCCTGTTATACTTTCCCACCGACACAGCCCCACAATTTCTTTAGAAACTTACCCCCTTTATTCAAAGGAAAAATTTGTCATATATTGATGTTCTTTTCGACAAGAACGCGAACACTATTCAAAGACATCGTCATTGAATTTGGTATTACAAAGGAAACAGTCGGAGACCGTCGAACGTTTTGTAATATTCGCGTCTAAAGACGTCAATGTGCTTCACGAGGTTCTCTGCTATATTTATTTTATTTTCCCCTTTTCCTCAGGGTCAG